AGAATAGAATAGAATAGAATAGAATAGAATAGGGAATGGAATGGAATAGACTAGACTAGACTAGACTAGACTAGGGAATGGAATGGAATAGAATAGAATAGAATTCTATTTTCTATTCCATTCCATTCCTTATTCTATTCTATTCTGTTCTGTTCTGTTCTATTCTATTATGTTCTGTTCTGTTCTAGCCTATTCTATTCTTGAAAGATACGAAGCCCTTATAACTTCTGAAGGCAAAGCTGTTCCACGGGTTAATTGTCTTCACTGTCAGGAAATTCCTCCTTAATTCCAGCTTGCTTCTCTCCTTGATGAGTTTCCATCCATTCCTTCTTGTCCTGCCTTCAGGGGCTTTGGAGAATAGCTCGACTCCCTCTTCTTCGTGTCTGCCCCACAGATACTGCAATATTGCTGTCATGTCCGTTCCACCCGCGCCCCTCCCCCAGTCCTTTTTTTCTCTAAACAAGCCAAACCCAGATGCTCCAACTATTTTTCGTGTGTTTTAGCCTCCCGGGCCCTTAATCATCTTGGTTTTTCTTCTCTGCACTCCCCCCCACCAAAAAAAAATTCTTGACATCTTTTTTGTAATGTGGCAGTGACCAAAACTGGGCGCGAGTATTCCAAGTGGCGGCCTTACTCAAGGTTTTATAAAGCGCAACTAATAATACTTCATGCCATTTTGATTCCACAAATGAAGGTCTAGCACAGAAAGTAACATAAATCACACGTCTCCATCAGATTTTTTGGAGGACCTTGGTTTTGGCCAGATCCTATCTTGAATTGTGTGTCTGGTCTTTGATACTATTTCATATTTTTTTAAAAAAAAGATTTTGAGAAATTGGATCGTGCTCCGAGGCAGACAATGCCATTGGTTTGGAAATTAGGAATTGAGAACGCTTTTAAAGTCTTGAGGAAAGAGTGAGGGCAGCCATTACAGCACTGGCCGCGTTTTTTGTACAGTCAGTTATTATCTCTGAATATAACAGATAAGCTTTAAGCCCGGTGACTTCAGATTTGCTATCAAAAGGACAGGAAGCTGGCCAGTTCTCCGCAGCGCCATTGTGCGTGCCATTCAACTTTGCCACAATCCTTGTAACAGCCGTTTGGCCTTTCGGAGGAACAAGCCGGGTTACATGTCATGCACAGCAGGGGGTTAAGGAAATAGCTGCACACTGAAACCAATTGTAACGGCGGTTGCAAGTGCGGTGTGCCAACATTTGAAAGGCAGCTGTGCCTGACCCAACCACCCCACCCCCCAAGCAGGGTAAAGATAGTCACCATTTGCAGAGTCACCATTTTTGCATTTGCATTGCATTTGCCTAGGTTCAGAGGTTGCTGGGAGAAATAGCTCGTTATAAATGTAAGAGAAGCGGGACTTTGTCCAGGGGATCAAGTTAGTCGCTTGAGAAGTCACTGGTTGCATCTGTATTGTATTTGCATAGCACTAGAGGATGCTGGGATAAGTTGTCGTTTTTTAGTTGCGAAGTCGTTTCTGACCCATTGCAACCCCATGGACAGCGTTCCTCCAGGCCTTCCTATCCTCTGCGATCTTCTGGAGCCCATTTAAGCTCACACCGACTGCTTCAGTGACTCCATCCAGCCACCACATTCTCTGCCTTCTTCCCTTCTTCTTCCCTTCTTCTTCCCTTCTTCTTCTATTGCCCACAATCGTTCCCAGCATTAGGTTCTTCTCCAGGGAGTCCTTCCTTTCTCATTAAGTGGCCAAAGTATTTGAGTTTCATCTTCAGGATCTGGCCTTCTAAAGAGCAGTCAGGGTTGATCTCCTCTAGGACTGACCGGTTGGATCACCTTGCAGTCCAAGGCACTCCCAGGGAGTCTTCTCCAGCACCAGAGTTCAAAGGCCTCCATTCTTTGGCGCTCAGCCTTCCTTGTGGTCCAACTTTCCCAGCCATCCATTGCAACTGGGAAAACCATGGTCTTGACTGTACATACTTTTTGTTGGCAGGGTGATGTCTCTGCTTTTTAGTATGCTGTCTAGATTTGCCATAGCTTTCCTCCCAGGAGCAAGGAGGGTCTTTTAATTTCTTGGCTGGGAGTAGTAGCTCATCACAAATTTAAGAGAACTGGGACTTCATCTATTGGATCGAGCTAGTCACCTGGGAATTGAGTCACTAGTTGCATTTGCATTGCATTTGCATAGCACCAGAGGTTGCTGGGAGAAGTAGCTCGCCAGAAATTTAAGAGAACTGGGACTTTATCTCGTGGCTCAAGCTAGCTACCTGAAAATTGAGTCACTGCATTGCATTTGCATTGCATTTACATAGCACCAGAGTAGTAAATTTGGAAGGGACCATGGATGTCTTCTAGTCCAACCCCCTCTGGATTATTTCAGAAATATAGAGAATTATCCCTTTTTCAAATTCTCCCACACTGTGGAACCAGAAATGGTTGATTTGCCCAGCACGGTAAACTGGAAATATCAAGCTGAAAGGCAAGTAAGCTTACTGTGCTGGCAAATGTGTCTCCTAATCTTTAGGTCCCATTTGCTTCCCTCTGCAGAATCCATGATCCTGCTAGGATCCGTTGACCGCACTCAGATTGGCTCCCTCCTCCACGACCAGCTGAGTTACGTTCGGCGCCGGCAGTTCATGCAGGAGAAAACCCGGCTGGAGCACCGGGACGCTGAGAAGAGCCAGGAAAACAAGGAGCCACACCACGTGCCAGACACAGGAGTGCGATTTCAGGTGACCGGGGCCCCCTCTTTACTCCAGCGGTGACTTTGCCAACATCTTTCATTTTGTAAAGAACTGAAAAACTGTCTAACACCAGGGAAATTTGGGAGAATCAGGCAGCTCAAAGGAGTGTAAAGATTATTATTATTATTATTATTATTATTATTATTATTATTATTATTAT